GTGATTCCACATGTTCACAGCCTACATGTGGCCCAAACTGGTTTCCAGCACTGGTACCACCTCCCCTCTCTGTGCCTATCTCCCATTCAAATTGGTGTAGATTCGTGGGAGCCAAAGAAGTGACCTTCATGTCAGCCTGAGCAAAATGTAATTAATAAATTGAATCTGCATTCCAAAGCCAAACCAAGATCACATTTGTTTGTTGTATTGAGATTATCCATCCCTGTCCATCAGAGCCGACAACATGAGCCGAATCCTAAATTCCCAGTTTAGGACAGTCTTTGTGTCTCCCACCGGGCCAAAAACAGAGCCAGAACCCAACAAAGCCTTCTTGTTAGGATGGCTGTTTTGTTCACTGGTTTTTAAGCTGGAGATCTGTTGCCCTTTAGAGGAGCCCAAGCCTCTGGTCACTGCACACACAGCCAGAGGTCAGCACAAGGGTTGGTGATAGGTTTCTCTTCCCAGGCAAGTGCAGGAGACAGAGATGGGCCCTCCTCCTATGTTGAAACCTAAGGACACCGGATTCCTAACGATTCTGAGCCTGCTCCGGAGAGGCAGCGGGAAGTAGAGGAACGTGGAAGACCAGCTCACATCCAGGCCGCATCTCTTAGCTGTGGCCTTGGGTAACGTGCTTAACTGCTCTGGACCTCAACATCCTTATTTATTAAATGAGGAAATAAAAACAAAAACAGAACATAAAAACAATAGCTCTCTTAAAGGGTTATTGTGAGGATTAGAGATAATATATGTAAAATGCCTAACCCAAAAGAGGTCTGCATACATGACAGGTATTATCATTAATCTTGTTATTATTATTATTCCTCTGTGACAGTGCTGTGCTGGTTCTGGGGATAAAAAGATGAGAAAGATACAGTTGTACACCCTCCTGCGGCAGACAGACAGAAACAACGGACTAGGATGCAAGACAGAATGAAGGCAGGGCTCCGGGAACGAAACCAGGGTAGTACTGTCTGCCTGGCAGGCCTGTCTGGCCTCGTGGAAGAGTAAGGGACAAAAGTGTAAGGGACAAAAGAGGGCCAGGGCGTCAACAGAGAGGAGGGGTCCACTGTACCCCAGGCAGAAGAGATCGCTGAATGGAATGAGAGCTGTGAAAACCCACTTGGCACCCTGGAACTCTGGAGTTCATTATTCCACAGAGGCTGGTGGTTTACTTTGCTCTCTTGGCCAAAGGTGGGCTCCTGGGAGGAAGCACTGCCTGATAGGAATCCTTATACGACACTAGGAGACCTTTTCTCATGTCACAGGACCCCTCTGGCCAGATGCCTCCTTGCCCCTGTGTCTCCCTACTCACAACAGTGTCCTCAGCGCACTTTCAGCCGGCCAAGGCACAGTGACAACTCAGTATTCCAATTTGCATGGACAAGGGAGCTGATGCAGGCTTGTCCTCCTGAGCAGCAGCAGACACATCTGGCCCGCATCTGAGCAGTGTCCCAAACTCCCCGCTGGGGCCGAGACAGCCAGTCAGGATGCTGGGGAAGAGCATGCTGGGAAACTCCCACAAGGGGCCCGCATTGATATAATCAGGTCTGGTGGAAATTAAAAGCTATTAGGAACAGGGCCGGATTTATCTTTATATCCAATAACATGTATTGTAATGGTGATCATGCAGATGGGAAATTAAACCACATCTCAGCTTCACTGGAGGCCTTAATTTTAATTTATGTTTGTGCACAGCCCTTGGCCCTCTTACCCCCACCCAGCCAGCCTTAGAGAGCCAGTTCACACCAGGACCAAATCCCTGGAGAGAGAAGCAAGGGTGGGAGTCTGCCAGAGACAAAGTGAGAGGCTCTGTGCTTCATACACACGTCTTTAAACAGCGGGATGGAAAGATGACCTGCTTGAGGGAGTGGAGGCGGATATAGCAGGTGGCTAAAGGGTAGCACTTTGAGCTATTTCTCCAGCCTGTCACTGCCCTGGGCAAAGCACAACCAAAAAGCTGGTGAGAGTTTCCTTTGCCAGCTTCAGGATAGCCAGAGAGAGCCAGGAAGGCTAACCTGTGAGTAAACATTCAATTCATGGAGCTTGTTTTGGTCCCAAGCCTTCAATTCTTCCCAGACTCCCTCAGAAAGAGGCGTGGGACAGCCAGCTCCCACCAACAGGGGCTGCAACCACATGAGGGCCCCCTCTCCCAGGGTACCTGCATCCCCAAGGGGATGCCTCCTGGGGCTCTGATGGGCCCACACCAGTCTCCCTGCTCTTCCTTCTGTGTTCCAGCTCCTCCCGGACTTGCGGTTTGTGGAGAGGCTGAGCCCAGCCCTGCAGATCCAGAAATCAAAGTCAACACAGTTCCTCTGGCTCCGGAAGCTGATCCTGAAGCGTCAGAGGGAAGTATCCCTGGCTCCTCCAGCCTCCATTAACCTTCAGGGTAACTTGCCATGTAATCTTCCCCTACCATGAGAAGTGCCATCCAGCCTCCCCACCTCAAAATGCGCGCACACACACACACAGCACACATACTGGGCACAGTGTGAATATGGTTAGTGGAAAAAAATCCTATTTTTATAAAAAATCAAACTACTTGCCTTTGTCAAAATTAAAGCATGTGGCATGCGGGCCGGAGTTCTGGTCCCCTCACCTACAGAGCCTGGACAAGACAAAACTCCACTCTCTCTGGTTCTCATGGAGTCCTCCATGATCATGCTAGTTGGATTTCTGTGCTTGGGGAAGACTGGCCCTGGATCTAACACGCAGCTGTCGAATGATCTAGAATGATTATGGATAGGGGTGGAGGGCTGGGCAGGAGAAAATTCTCCAAGGCCAAACTAAAGAAAGGGGTTCTGCAAAACAAAAGCTTAACACAGCCCCGCAGATTAGCATCAAGGCCACTTCCCTGATAATTATGCCCTTTGGGGCCACCAGCCCGGTCTTGACATCAAAGACAGCCCTGAAGCACCAACTACAAGGGCCGCCTGGGGGAAGCTCCCTGCCTCCAGCTCCTAAGCACAGGAACCAGTTAACCTTCCTTCTCTCCTATCTGATCTGGTCTTCTCCCCACCCCACGCCCAGCCTGCTGTCCTTATTCCATGTCTTTGTCCATGCCATTCCCCAGTGTATGCCAAGGTCCAGGGTACCTCTGGTCCTCACCAGCCCATGGTCCCTGCCTGAATGATTGCTTTGGCTCTTGGGCTGTGCACCTTGTGACTCATTTGAACACAAGAACCCTGGCCTCAGTCCCGGACCCAGGAGGGCCCCACACAGCCACCCCTGCGGGGTCCAACCGCTTCTTCTGACTGCATCCAGGGAGCAGCCTTCCGCACCGTCCCCAACCCTGGCATCCTTTCATCTCCTCTTTATTCCTTGCCCTCAGAGGCTCTCCTCCCCAGACAAAACACCCTTCCTAACCTTTGCTGTTAGCCTATGGTTTTACAAAAGACAGGAGGAACAGCTGTCTTCCAGGAGCTTCGAATTCCCATTCTGCTACAAGCTCTGAAGTCTGGAGATATAATGGCCTGGCCATCTGCTTGGAACTGAGAGAAGGAAAAAGTACTGAGCGAAAAAGGCAAATTAATGTCTCAAAGAAAGTCTCCTGCTGCATTAGCTGTCAACACGCCAGAGCATGGTTCTTGTCCTAGGTACACATCAGAACCACCTAGCGAGCATTGAAAAGGCTGATGCCCAGGCTCTACTCCTGGCAGAGTCCGATTCAGTTGATTTGAGGCTAAGCATTGGTGTTTTTTTTTTCCCGAGATGGAGTCTCGCTCTGTCCCCCAGGCTGAAGTGCTGTGGTGTGATCTCGGCTCACTGCAAGCTCCACCTCCTGGGTTCACGCCATTCTCCTGCCTCAGCCTCCCGAGTAGCTGGGACTACAGGCGCCTATCACCATGCCCAGCTAATTTTTTGTATTTTTAGTAGAGGGGGGGTTTCACTGTGTTAGCCAGGATGGTCTCGATCTTTTGACCTCGTGATCCACCCACCTCAGCCTCCCAAAGTGCTGGGATTATAGGCATGAGCCACCATGCCCGGCCAGCACTGGTGTTTCTAAAGGAGTTCCTCGGGGATTTAAATGGGTGGCAGGCTTAAGAACCCCTGCTTTAAAGGTTCCATGAATAGAAGTCTTATCTTCCCCAACTAAACCATCAACCCTGAGGAACAAGAATCATTTCATACAATCAGTTATGGGACCTTAATGCTCAAAGGGCACTCAGATCACCTGGTCAAGCTGCTCCAATTTACAGCAAGGGAAACAAAGGTCCTTGGGAGAGAAAGGAAGAAAACGCAGCAGAACCCCTGCAATGTGCAGAGAGGAAGAAACTGGTGATGGAAAAATCTCAGTTTTGTAAATGGAGGCCTAGAGGACCTGAGGTCCTCTCTTGGGGCTTCCATACCTGTTTTCCTGTGGGAGACACAACCCCACAGAGGTAAAAGGAGCCTATAATGAGGGACTCGTAATCACAGCAGCTGTAATGAGATGAACCCACAACATGGTATGAACCCCATCTCCCAACATCAGCCTCAAAGCGAGGCCAGCTAGAATTCCGATGGAGTCTTTAGCCAACTCATGCAAGAAGGAAAGAAGGAAAGTCCCCATACACAAGCTTCCTGAAGTCAGGTCCTCCAAGGAGGCAGTGCTCACTGTTTTAGTCACACAACGCAGGAACACAGACCACAAACCCTCTTCTCATCCCTCGTCCCCTTGCCACCTTTCGCAGGTAAGGTGCTTCCAGCCTTGCCTCAGGACTGGGTCAAGCAAAACCCCAGCAGTCAGAAAGGATGGGGCTTCCACTGCACTGGGTGTCTGATGGCACCCTCACACACCCAGTCAAGACCAGCGTGTGGGTCTTCAACACCCCACACAGAGACGTGCCAGACCAAGACCAAAGATACTTTTTTTGCCAAAGCATCACCAGAACAATAACAAATCACTCCCCAGGGCCAATCTCAAGATCTTGTTGACCTCAACAACCAGCTCAGGCATCTCTACTTTACCCAGTCCCCACAAAGCGAGCACCCGTCTGCTGCAGCCCCAGGACGCTTCTTACCTGGGATGATGGAGACTGTGTCTTTCTCCCAAGACACAACGCTAACGTATTCCTGCACTGAAGAGGGGATGAGGCACTTGAAGACGGCCACGTTGCCACGCATTGACCTTTGATCCTCCACCCGGACGGTGTAGGGTTCCCTGAAAACTGCAGAGAGATTGGCAGTGGGGAAGAGAAGAGTGTCACAAGGATGTGGTGAGGGTCCCCAGAAAGGAACAGAATCAGCTCAACTCCCTCTGCTCCTTCAGCCTCACCTTCCTCACTTCTTCCTTCCCCTCTCCCTCTTAGCCAGCCCAGAAGCCCCTGCCATGATCTTGTTCTTGTCTGGGCAACTCCTTCTCCATCAACCTCCTCCCCATCCTACTGGGCAGCCTTTTCTCCCTCAAAAATATCTGGCCTCCCTCTGCAAGACCATCCATCCAAATTCCAACCTTTCCCATTTGGGTATTAGCAAATCATATTAGATTTTAAGAGCCTTGAGGGCAGCACCTAAGCCCTGCAATGTTATATTCACCAAAGGGATGTGCAGGTAATATGGAAATATGCTAGAATTCCCCTAAGAAAACCAAACCAGATTTCCTGAATTATTGTTAGACCCAGGGTGGCAATTATTTTGGGCACAGTGACCATAATGCACCCAAACAAAACCTGTGACACAGGCTCTAACAACTGAGTTTTGGGCTCCTCCAACGTGAAAAGCAGGCACGGAAATGTAGTTCAGATCCTGAACTTACAAGGACAACGGGAGAGAATGTTTGGGATTGTGATTGGCTCTGAGCATACAGAACTCGAGACATGGACACAGTCTCCAAGATTCCTCAAAACAGAGCATCCTTGCCACTTTCTCCCTGCTTCTGACCCTGGCTGCAGCCTCTAGAGCACCCCTCCCTGACCCCCAGCTTTGCCCCTGCTTTCAGAACCATCCCTTCCCCCACAGTGCCCACCTCCTGCCTCAGCTGGCTTCTGGGGCACTGCCACCTGCAGCCACTGTATGTGTCTGGCCCCTACAGGCAGGCAGACCCAGCCCTAGGAATGGGACCCAGGCTTCTGCCTCTGCCTTGTCCTCCTCTGTTTGGCCTCTCCCAGGCCTCGCTTGATCCTTCCACGCCCTTCTCTGCCAAGTAAAGCTGGAACATCCAGAGCCCTGCTGCCTCCCGACCTTGTCCCTCAGCAGGCACCTGGGCAGCGTGCCCTTCTCCTCTCCCTGCGATGGTTGCCAAGGTGACACTTAGGGCCCTGGCAGCCCATCCCCACTCCCTGACTATGCACCTGCAGCCCCTCTGGCATCATCAAGAGTCTCTTAATTGATTGTGTTTCCAGTCAGCCTGGCTCTCCCTGGCCCTCCCTCGGCCTTTATTCTTTCCCCTTCTCCAAGTTGTGGCTACGACGAGGAGGAGATGTAGTTGAGGTGGAAGAAAGAGAAGAGAGGAGAGGCACTGGTGGCTCTGTGGCTCTGTGGTCCAGCCCTTCCATGGGTTTGGGCAGGGCCCTGACTCCAGCTATGGGAGAGCACAGAGGAGAACAAGGGGAATGGACCTTGGAGGGAGGCAGGGTGGCAGAGTGGAAAGGGCGGGCTGGAGTGCACGCCACCTGTGACGTCCCAGGGAGTCAGCAGAGGTTTATGGTTAATGGCATCTAACAAGTGGGCCCTGCCTCCTCCTCTGGCCAGCTGTGTGATCCTGGACAAGGGTTGGTTAACCTTCTGGAGCCTCAGTTTCTTCATTTGTAAAAGGAAATCACCATAAGAGCAGCATATGAAAGGCCCAGCACAAGGAAAGCACTTTGATAATGTCACTTTTCATGATAGCTGCATGTCTGTGATTAACTGGCTGTGTGCCCTTGGACAAGTGACTTAACTTCTCTTTGTCTTAATCTCTTCATTTGTAAAAACACATTTATGCACTTACCATGAAAACTGCATCCTAACCCAATGAGGGGGAGGTGACAGGAAACACGGTCCCTTCCCCTTAACTCAATCCTCCACGCTGTGGAGGCCAGAGCTGGGCTCCAAATCCAGGCCCCAGGGCTCCTAGTCCAGCACTTGGTGTTGCATTGGGGTTGAGCAGTGCAAAGGACTTGCTCTTAAAAAGAGTCCATGGGGAGTCCGGGGAGAAACCCTGAGCAACTCTATGTTCTAAGAGCTCATGGTCTAGCCCCAAACCAACCGATGGAATGAGGCAGAGCTCTCACCCCACCTCACCCCTACACACTCCCGTTCCCAGCTACTTTAAACCTTGCTTTTATGAGAGGTGTCCCTAAGGCAAAAGGACCCCAAAAAATCAGAGAGGGTCTGTCACATGCTGGTTGGGAGGCCTTTCCCAGAACCACTCTTCTTGGTTGGTCCAACACAGTCCCTGGAAAAGATGGCGTGACCTAGGCCTGGCACCATTGCAGTGGGCTGGGTCTCTAAGTTGAAAACCATTCCCAAAACTTCAGTGCTTTATAATGATCCGAGACCCACTTTGCCAATGATTATGACACGCCAGTGTACCCTGATGTCCTAGTAAAGAATGGCTGATCTAAGCTGTCCCCTTGGCCTCCTGCCCTAATCCAAATAAATGAGACTTTTTTTCTTAAAGTAGACCACCTGAGAAACGCTACTTCCTCACCTCCATCTACTCTTCCAAAGACCAAAACCTTTCACTGCTAAAAGTATTTCATTGTGAATTTCACCAAAATGCCTTTTCTCATGAGATGTGTTATCCTCAGACATCCCCTCAGCAGTAGAACGGACAAAGAAAGTGTGTTCTAGCTGCATGATAGCACACTAGATGACAGTGACAACAACCAACCTCCTACCACACACAGCAGTAAGGGTAAATCCCATAAGCAGAATGGTGAGCAAAAGGTCTAGACAATACATACCATTGGACTCCATTTGTATAAAGTTCATAAATAAGCAAAATATCTATATTGTTAGAAATCAGAATAGTGGTGGCTCTTAGAGGAATAGTGTGGGAAAAGAAGCTTGAGGAAGGCTTCTAAGGTGCTGATGTTGTATTTCTTGATCTGAGTGTTAGTTGAACTTTGTAAAATTTCATCAAGCTACATACTTATAATGTGTGCACTTTAATTATTATTTTTTAATAAAAGGCTTCAAGAAAACCTCACTGTGGATTTTCTATAAGTCAAGGGCTGAAGTGAGCACCTCATTTAAATGAGCACCATCTCATTTAACCGTCACACGTGGTGATACAGAGGTAGGCAGTTGCATCCACTTTGCAGATGAGAAAACTGAAGCTTAGGAAGATGTCTCCTCGCCACTGCACTCCAGTCTGGGCGACAGAGTGAGGCTCTGTTTCAAAGAGAGAGAGAGAGAAAGAGGAAAGAAGAAAGAGAGAAAGAGAGAAAGAAAGAGAAAGAGAGAAAGAGTCTCTTATGCCTATGGACACACAGCCAGTGGTAAACTAAGATGCAAAAGTGAACAACAAAACTGTTCTTGGGTGAATGACTTCTTGCAAGCGCCCCCGCCCCGAGCATGTTACACACATATCCTCAGAATGACGGCACAGCCTTCTCCTGTGCCACTGGGGCAGCAGGCGTCTTGTCTCTTACCTGCTTTGACGCGGATGTTGGGGCTCCGGATCTTGCCGGCAGCGTTCTCCGCGGTGCAGAAGTAGTCATTGTCGTGGATAAAGCTATTGAAGGCGGAGGGGGAGAAAGGGTAGAGCTGCAGCGTCCCGTTGGCGTGCACGTGCCGGATGTGCGGCACGTCGTAGATGTCGTCCCCCGTGGCCAGGTACCATCGAAGGGCCGCGCTGGGGGAGCCCGCGGCCGGGCAGGGCACCACCACCCCCACGGAGCTGGAAAAGGTCACCTGCTGCAAGGAGTCATTTACAAAGTAGAGGCTGGTGCCGACATCTTCAGGGCGGGCTGCAGGAGAGGCAAGGGGAGAGACTTGGTTAGCATGGGCTCTAAATACCCACACAAGCCACGGAGGCTTGCGACAGGCTGCACTCATTCACCTGACCTTCAAGCATCAGTCATTCAGTAAGCGCCTATTGGGCACTGACTATATAGCAGGCACTGGCAAAGGTGAATCAGAGACAGTTCCTGATCTATAGAAAACCCCAGCCTTCAGGTGCGGGGGCTCATGCCTGTAATTCCAGCACTTTGGGAGGCCGAGGTGGACGGATCACCTGAGGTTAGGAGTTCAAGACTAGCCTGGCCAACATGATGAGACTCCGTTTCTACTACAAATACAAAAATTAGCCGTGCGCGCGTGCTTGTAGTTCCAGCTACTTGAGAGCATGAGGCAGGATAATCGCTTGAACCTGGGAGTCAGGGGTTGCAGTGAGCAGAGATCGTGCCACTGCACTCTAGCCTGGGCAACAGAGCAAGACTCTGTCTCAAAAAAAAAGAAAGAAAAAGAAAAAAAAAGAAAAGAGAAAAAGAAAAAGAAACCCAGGATTTTTGGAATTTGTTCAGAATCACACAGCTAGGTTACAGAACTAAAACGTGACCCCATTGCTCCTAAAGAGAGTTATAGTGCTCTTTCTACCGTCCCACAGATGAAAGTTGCAAAAGGTCTCAAGACCATGCTCTGAGATGAATGGCTACAGGAGCCGGGATGCTCGCCTGGAATGGAAGATGGAAGAGTGCAGGAGACCCTGATAGCCAATTTGAGAAATGTGTTGCCACAGAGGACTGAATGAGGGCCAGCAGAAGAGTGGGTGGATAAGATCTAGACTAAGGCCAAAAGACCCAGCTTCTAAACTCAGCCCTGACACCATGTGACTGTGCAATTCCCTTCCTCACTCAGATCATCTGCTCCTTCACTTGGAAAGTGGAGGGAGAGGATGGGTAAGACTGCAAAGACCCCCTTCCATCTCTGACATGGTACCATTCCAACCCTCAACCACATGGGAGAATGTTCTTATGATTACAGCTGGCAGTGGCAGATCCACCTGACTGGGAGGACTGGCCATCTGTTCCTCTTATCCCAGCATCAGGCCTAGATATTTCCTGCTCTTATCCCAGTAGCCCTGAATGTTGGAATCAAGGGGTGCCCCCCTTCCTCTTGAGGAGCCTGCCCCTTTAAGAAATCCACTGCCTAGCAAGTGGACACCAACCTAGAGGAAGAGAGGGCAGGGTCCCAGGTCTCTAGCTGGAAACCACTCCCTCTCCACCAGGAAGATCAACGAGCAAACAAACCACTCCGCTGCTTGTTTAAAGAACGTTGCAGGGGACCCAACTTGACCTCAATTTCCACAACTTTATAGGATGGGGGAGGGCCCACATCCGGCCATATTAATATTCTTGGCTTAACTCTGAGCCGAGCCTCCGGGGAGAATATACCAGGCAGCTCATTGAGGAAGGCCATTAAGCCTCATTGGTCAGAGCAATTCACATCATCTCATAAAAAGCTGTGATGAAGCCATTAGCAGACGTGCTGGAAAACACATTCGTGGGCTTCTTGCTGCGGTGTCAGGAGCATCCTCTTAGCAGCAAATGCATTTGCTGTCCCCAACAGGCACTGCACTCATAGCAGCTGAAAGACACTTTCTTGGAGAAGGGAGCCACATGGCCTTGCCATTCTCCTCCTCATGCTGCCTACTCTTGTGACAGTCACAAAATTGGTGGCCAAGCAAGTCTGCTCTGCACAGGACCCTTAGAAGCTCTGGAAGCATGACTGACTTGCTGTGGCTAGAGTGTTCCCCAAGAGCATGAAATCATGCCATTTCACCAGGCAGCAAACTGAGGCTCAGGAGGTTTCTCTTAGAATACACACTTAGCAGGTCCCACTTCCAAGATTCTTACTTTCTGAAAGGCTTCCTTACTGACATCCATTCAGCAAATATTTGTTAAGCATCTTCTATGTGCCAGGCACTGTTGCTAGGGACTTTACTTATATGACTTCTTTTAATTATCCCAACAACACTAAAACATAGGTACTATTAGTATCCCAGTGTACAGATGAGGAAACTAAGGCACTGAGAGATCAAAGCAACTTACTCAAGACCACAGAACCAGTAAGTGAGGGCACTGGGACACAGACTTGGGCAATTTGACCCTACAGTCACTCTCTTAACCATTCTGTGATGTATGACCACAGTATAACCACTGCAATAATAAAGAGGGGATTTTCACCTCCCTCAGACACAACTTGGCCACCAACTTCCATTTTCAGCTGGCCAAGAACACACAGGTGCACACACACATACATGCACGTACACGACATGCACACTCCTTCCTGGGAGCGATTTCTGTTGGATTCTGGGCATTTCAGACAATACCTTGCTTTTGGGAACAGGGACATTGCTCGGGGGTCCTGGGTGCCTCCTGAGAAACCTAGTTAATCAGGCACTCTCACCCTGGCAGCTTCATGGATTTGGGAGCCAAAAATCCATCACATTACAGAAAGACTCTATGGTGCCTGTAAATGGACTTAGGAAGCCGAGAGAATCCCTGACAAGGAGGAATTCAGGAATTGATTCATGTGAGAAGGTAAGTAAATTCTTAAGGCTAAGTATGATGTAGCCCTCTGTAATGACAATACCTCCAGCAATAATAATAGCCACCACTGACTTCATTGTTAACTACAGGCCAGGTTCTGTGCCAGGTCCATTCTAGATACTGTATTTATATTATACAGATACTATATTTAATCTTCATAATTCCCTAGGGGGTGTTATTGTTATTATTTCCATTTTACCGATAAGGAAATTAGGACTCTGAGAAGTTCACTAACTTCCCCAAAGTGCTACAATGTGCAAATGCCAGAGCTGAGGCTAGAACCCAGTTTTGCCTTGCCTCAGAGCTGGGGAATGTACCTCCTGCTCTACTGCAGAAACTCCATGGAAGACAAATCAAACCACAGAAGATGGTTTTTCAGGCTGGGTACTTTCCCCAACCCTTCCTCCACCCCAACCGTATTCCAAACACACATCCCACTCTCCTTCTCTAGTGGCTGGAAATCCATTCCACTCTCCCTGCCTCCTGAGACGGCCACTTCCCAGGCCCCTTCTGCTCCCTCCAGGAGCATCAACCACAATGACAGCAGCCTTCCTGCACTCCTGGGCCTCGGATCTTGCCGAAGCCAAGGGCACAAGGTTCCCAGTAACTACAAATGGGTAGATTTAATTGATGAATTGACTAGGATTGTCCAGCCACCTGTCAGGACTGATGAAAAGGCAGATTTATAGCAAAAGGCAAGGAGCCTCATATATCTCCCACCCTGGGATGTGAGCTTCTGTCTTCTGAGTCTGGGGGAGCAAGGGAGGATTAGACACACCATTCATTTCTGCGTACGGCTCTGACAGTGCATTGCCATTATGAAACATCACCCTCAGGTGTAAAACAATAGTATTTTGCACTTACATTGGGTTCATATTTTACCATCACAAGGCACCTGTCAGCTCAGAATGCAGAAACCCTTAAATAAGCATTAATTTAACCTCGCCCTACCTGCCAAGAGAAGGGAGTGAGCAAACACATAAAGAGGAAACTGAGGCACAGACCAGCAAATATCTCAAATCTCTGCTATGTGCCACATTGAAGGCTGGGCATATGGGCAGTGGGTAAGTGGCCACAGAAGCAATGGGTGTGTTCAGAACTCCAGGGAAAGAAGTGGGAGTAGTAGGAGCCTGACGTCCTCACTCTGGCCTCACGGAGTTTGGTGTGGCCTCTACAGCAGGGGCTTCCCCACCTTCTCAGACTCATTTGAATCTTCAGAGCAGTGACAAAGCCCCAGCAAGCTCCCAGAGGGGCCCCAGACCCCTGCCTTGAAGTCTGACAGAACTACCTCCCCTCTGGGGGTTCACCCCTCACCTGCTGTGTGACCTCAGGCAAGCCACTTAGCCCTCCTGAGCCTCCTTTACAAAAGGGCAGGATGTGATTGCACCATCTTAGCTGCCTCCCAGAGCTGCTGAGAGGGTGGAATGGAATGGGGCAGTTCTTGATTCCCCATGAGGATGTTCTAATATGAGATGGGGATTGTTCACTCTCCCTGAGGGGTCAAGGGTGCCTAAGGTTACTACAGGGATGAAAGGGCACAGCTCCACCCTGCAGCCCTGCAGAATTTCAAGCCCTCTCCAAACGCTACTTCCTCTCACCTGACTCCTGCACCCTTCAGTGTCCTCCTTCCCCAGTTATTTCTGATCCAGGGACCAGAGAAGACGTTCATCGCCTCAGGAGATATTTACCAAGCACCAGCCGCGCTGCACCACAGTATCCCAGGTACGGTGGGAGGCATCAAAGACAAGGAGAATTGCTCCACCTTCTAGGAGCTTATAAAGGAGATGGGGAACAGGAGAGGAGGTTAAACAATAGCACCTGGCCATGCGTGAGGCCAGCTGAAAGCACTGATTTAGCCAAGAGCTATGGGGAGGGAAGGGGAAAGTTATTCAGCAGCCAGAGAAAAAGCGTTGGGAAGAGATAGGAGCTGAGCTGAGCTGGAAGACCTGGATAGGTGGGGTGACAAGGGGGGGCACTCCCAGAGAAGACAGCCCAACAACAGTGGGTGAGGCATGCATGTTAGGGGGCCCTGTGGAAACCTTGCAGGCTGGAGCAGTGGGTGGGTTTGGGGAGAAGAGGCAAAACCAGCTGGATTGGGTCTGGGGAGAAGAGGCGAAACCAGCTGGATTGGGTCTGGGGAGAAGAGGCGAAACCAGCTGGATTGGGTCTGGGAAAGACGGCGAACCAGCCTGGATTGGGATCTGGGGGAAGAAGCGAAAACCAGGCTGGATTGGGCTCTGGGAGAAGAGGCCGAAACCACTGGATGGGTCTGGAGAAGAGGCGAAACCCAGCTGGATGGGTCTGGGGACAGAGGCCGAACCAGCTGGATTGGGTCTGGGGAGAAGAGGCGAAACCAGCTGGATTGGGTCTGGGGAGAAGAGGCGAAACCAGCTGGATTGGGTTTGGGGCGAAGAGGT